TATCACAAACTACCTCCTAAAATAAGATTATAAACAGTCATCTGACATTTAAAAAAAACAGTTTGCATCAAATCAACCACAGATTTCATAATATCTGGAATAATAAGACCTTCCTTCCTGCTCTGAAAAGAAATCACGAGCTTCAGAGCCTGAAGGACTCTTCTGGACCAGCTGGTCAGTCAGAGGTGAGAAAGAGCCGCAACGGAGAGTCGATTCAGGAAGCCCAGTCTTCTACACTAGAGCACCCTCTAGATCTGAAGACACTCAAAGTGGAAGAAGGCGCCAAATACCAAGGTTTTCCCAATTGTGCTCATTGGAACACAATGGGAACCTTCAGACTTACATCCATAGATTTCTAGAAATTCTTGAGCTATTGCCGAGCAAAACAGCCAGAGCAAACAGAAGAATGAAGTTTAATGTTTGACAATCCTCTGCCACAGCGGAGGCCTGCGCTACGCGGTTCCCGGGGGCTTCAGGCTGATTTTAAACCCTCCCAGCGAGCAGCTGTCACCGAGCAGGTGGCAAAACTGAACAAGTGCCTGTTAATCCCACCCTGGGAATGGAAAAGTGCTGACTGGCTACGGAGCCACGGCTACTCCCAGAAGTCCCGTCTGCTTGTTCTCCGAGCCGCAAGGCTGGAAACACAGGACCTGACGGGCCATTAACAAGAACTCGGCACCAGGACAGGAGCTGCTACAGGAACCCGCGCCCACAACCCCAGCAGGTCCCTGCGCCAAACCACACCGGGAGATGAAGCAAGCGATCAGGACCGCGGCTTCGTTTCCACATCTTCAGCAAACAGCAGGGCCGTGAAAACGCAGAGCTACAGCACACAGGAGAGCGGCTGGGCCTTCCGACTCATGACTGGCGGGTTGTGGGTTCGAGTCCCAGCTGTGAACAGTGCTGTTGTACCTGGAGCAAAGTACTTGACCACAGCTGTATCAACGTAGGGACAAGCACTGCTGGGGGGGTAATGCCTGCGATATACTGGCAGACCGTCTCAGAGAGAATCACACCCTCTAGTGTGCTTAACACAGAAACCAGGATGAGCTCAGGTATGGGCCTTCACACAGGCACACATGACCAGTGCACAACTCATTTTCAAAATGAGGCTGATATATTTTGATAATGTGCATTTCAAAGAAACGTTTCTTAAAGCAGACTTTTTCCTCCATTATCTTAACTTGTGACAATTTGGCAATAACAGTCACACGCTCTTATCACCAGTGATTTTGCAGCGAGTCAGCAGCCAGAAGGAGTTTGCCGAGCCCCAGCTGGGGGAAGCGCTGGAGCTCAGGGTCACTGGAGCTCGGCAAGCTGAGGCCGCAGGCAGGGCGGGGCGCCCAGCTCGCGCTCGCGTGCTGCTCCAGCCCCGCAGTGGGAGGGGCCGCATGGACATCCTGGCAGGAGTGTTGGAGAGGACCCGGCCTGTCCAATCCCCACGAGAGCCTGCAGCTCGCAAGAAAGCCACAAACTAAGCGACAAACTGCAAGTTGGTCAGATATCTCCTAATGTGCTAGAGAGCTGCAGCACATGTTCTTCCTCCATTTAAATGTGTTGTTGGAACTATAAATATAGAAAAGCTCAACACAAGCCTCTTCTCTGCACCGGTTATAAAGAATAACTTCATTCAAAGCCCTTTTTTCCCCAGCACGGAATAAACCTGTTCCTTTGCTATCTATATTTATATCAATAGTAATATAATAGCCATTATGCACACAGATAAGACAGGCCTGGTAGTGATTAATATATGCGGCCCACGAGACTTGCTTTTAGCCATGGTGGCGGCCCAGTTGATAAAGGTTAAGAACCACGGCTTTAGACAAATGCTTCAAGTTGGACATGCTTGCAGCATTACCTACAGGTTTTGTTGTGCAGAATTAGTTTTGATAATGGTTTCCTTCCTGCCACTGTGCCACACAGGTCAGAGCCCAACATTCTCTCTCATCTTAGTAACTGAAATACTTTAACTACCGCCTCATGTCACTTGCACCCTCTACCTAGTTTCCTTCTTGCCTAGCAGCTCAGTTTGAAGGGACAGTCAGATCTTGGCAGTGTTGTATGATATACCATCCACTTCATACGCAAAGGGATATTCAAGGCCTGCTTGAAAAAATAATTTATACCAAATTCCTGATCTGTGCCTTTCTACAACTTAATCTATGGGTTGTGTTGAAAGATCTTTAGTTTCCATGGTTTATCTTTGAGGTCTGCCACAACAAAGGGCTTGAGTATTAATGCAATCAGGACTTTTCCCATTTTTCTTCCATATAATGATTGGCTTTGCTTTAGATGTCTGGAGTAGCTTGTGAATATAAATTGCTACAGTATATCAAGGTATCTTTAGAGTAATACATGTGAAAATTGTGCAAGAGTCTGAACACTGAAGATATGCTCTTCTACAGTGGTGCATTATGTACACCTGCTGCATACCTTTGAAACAAATAGGGTGTATCAAACTAGAGACCAGCAGAGATGTCATTTTCTACAGCAGTCATAAAATGTCAATGAGCACAGATGTGGAAAGCTTGTTAACGCTTAACTATACATTGGGCAGTGGCATTAATCCAAAGTGACTTACAGATTCCAATTATTCATTTTGTAGTGTACATAGATATTTCTGTCTGATGTAACTATTGGAGCAACAGCACCAAGTATTTTCACTTAAGGGTGCAGCAGAGCTACACAACACCCCACCTGAAGTGCTGGAACATGAGACAGGAAAAAAAATATTCAACCTTCGAGGGGACTTTCTAAAATGCAATATTAAGAAATACTACATGAGCAGAAACCCAGCTGGTATTTCTCTCTCAGTGCAGTACAGCCCTTCAGAAAGATCAGTGATGCACACCTTGCCCATTAGTTGCTATGTAAACAGCAGCTGAGTGCTGATGTGTGAACAGGCCGTTATCATCAAGAGCGGAGAGCTGGGTGACGGCTCAGGAACCCTGGTGCAGTCAGGTGATACACATCTTCATACAAGGCACTTCTGTACCAATTACACTCCAGTCCCAAGTTGCACTTGTTTCCTTCGTCTGATACATCCAGCTAATGTTTCACCCCACATGAACAAGGACTTGAGCCCTGACAGGGTCATTCAACTGGTTTGATTGTTAAGTGGACTGCATCACAAAGAAACACTGCACCCAGGGAGCCTGGTCTTGGCTTGATCAAGCTCTACCCTCCCTAGAACCGCTCAGTAAATGGCTTACGGAATAAATTAAAGCCTTGCTGAAAATATGCAAAATGCATCAGATACAGGGTGGATTTTCACTTGAAAAGTACGGCAGTCACTTGTCATTTTTGATCACAGAATAAAAGGATATAGACCAGTCTGACTGTTGCCATCATTACTGCCTTGAAGTCTCTTATAGAGTATGGAAAAAAATGGCTGGGTAACTTCTAGATATAAAGGCTTTGGAGCACAAGTAAAAGCCGTTAGCATTTCTACTGTTACAATACAGGTGACCTTATTTGATTAAGTGGACAAACTAGAACCTTGCATTGTTTTTAAGAAGCTGGAGATTTAAAGACGTTTATAAAACCTGTATAAAGGCAGAATTAAAATACAAAAATGTGATTTTCTACTCTGCAGTGAAAGGGAAGTGGGACCAGTGACAGGCGTGCGCCACAGCCTGGTCTTCACTCCGAGCAGCACAACAGCCAGCACGACGCCTCGAGCTGAGAAAAGCAAGCAGCACAGCCGTGCTGCAAGCTGAAGATCGAGCCTGACAGGAAGCTTTTGTGATCCGCTGTTTATTAATAGAACCTAAAGCAAATCTAAAAACCTACAGCTTTAAAAGCAAAGAATGTTCAGCGTGGCTTTAAACGTTTAGTAGTGAAGCATACAGTCACCTAACCCAACCTCCCACATGCCAACGACGGGCAAGCAAGCCTCTGCCCACATGAGGGCCACCCAGTAAAACACCACATCAAGAGCTGCTGGAATAGCGGAACACGGGTCAGCCGCCGGCACTCACCCGCTGACCTCATTCACACTACATCCCTGCTGCCCCCGACCAGAGCAACCTTCTCCCTCACTTTCCTTGCTCAGCTTCCTCAGCCACAGCAGGCTGGTCTGCTCCACTCGCACTCAGCACTGCAGCAGTGCAAAGAGGATTCAAACAGCTGTTTAAGGTTTACGCCTGGTGAAAAACAGGATGTGGACTCGCATAGCAAGACTGCTGATTGAATCATCTGCCCCAACAACCTAAAGGTCACAAGCAGGAAAGCTCAAGAACCAGAAAACCTTGGATTTGATTTAAAAAAATCTGAATTTCATATTCAATGGCTTTGACAACTTTCAGGACAGCACAACCACCAAATTACCTCCTGCAACAAAGGCCTTATGGCCACCATTACAGCAGGAGGACTTTCAGAAAAGCAGCTGACATTTTTAATTTATGTTGGAAATCATTCTGATGGGAATTTTTAGAACTAAAACGTTACATCACTATTAACTATCTTGGCATGAGTTTTCAAGTGGACAGCAACAGTATTTCTGCTTAATTAATAAGAAGCCTTTAATACTCCAGAAGTAACTGCACTCCTCACACAAGGTCCAACATTCCCCCTTCAACTCTAAAGATCTTCTACCAGGTTTTTCTGGAACTACAGCTGGTATTTGGACAACTGGCTTTTACCTGCTGATGAATAGAGAACAGAGGGATTCTGAATTTTCCATATGATGAATGAGAATTGTGGATGACAACATCCACATATAATTATTGAACTATCAGAGGTTCCTCTAATTTTCTGAAAAATGAGCATATCCCACTAAACAATAAAACATGGAAGATTAATCTGGAAAAATGCATCAAGAATTAGATCTATTCACACATGCAAAGAGCTTTAAATTGAACTTGTGCAGATCACAACTGTCTTCCAGGGAGCCTGGATCAGTACAAAAGTGGCCCCCTCAAAAACAAAGATGAACACATGATGGCCCAGCCCCTCCTCCTCCAAGACCGTGTTGCACGAACGCGTTTTCTGCAGGTTACCTGCCGCCATGTGGATGAGGACGCTCTGATTGGGCCTCAGGTTGCCGAAGTCGAACAGCATCATGTAGGCGGTGATGTAATTCACCGGGATGGCTGCAGCCTCCTCAAAGGTCATGCCCTCGGGCATGAGGAAGGTGTGACTGGCGGCCACGGCAACCACTTCCTGCCACATGCCGGACCTGCTCAGCACGATGACCTTGTCGCCAACCTGTGGGGAGAGGAGGAAGAGGCAGTGTACCGGATTACTGACTTCCCACGGGCCTCCACAGCACCTCGGTCACACCGAGAGGCTACAAGAGTGACAGCCATACAAGAGCAGGAGGCACCTGTGCCACCACCAGGGAATACATCTGGAACACAAGCCATTCAAACTCCACCTCCACATTCAGGGCACGAGTTCCTGCCCGGAGCTGGATTGCATTCGGTCACTGCTCTGCAGACATCCCATGCAAGTTGCACTGCAGTTCCATTACAGTTGAGATGCAATTCAGTGTCCATTCAACAGGCAACCATGATGCTTCACAAATACCAATCTGGAATTATACAATTCCTCCAAAATTACTACCCCCCCGAATAAACTGAGCAATAGAACAGAGTTGCACAAGGACAGACAGGAAGAGGGTTGACATCTGCCGAGCAGGAAGTGGGCAATCTCGGCGCGTGGTGCAAGGTCTTGGTAGAAGCACCATGTCCAATAATAAAAGGAGGAGGTCAGCTGAGACCTGCTCCAAATAGACAGCAGGGCTAAACCATTCCTTACCGTCTTCTACAGAGATGAGACTAATATTTGAGGAAACTAGATTAAAAGCAATAAAGCTCCTTACAATATGATAAGGCCAGCAGAATGCCTGCGGTGACTAACAGTAAGGCACTGCCTAATGACAATAACTCCATGAGAGAAGAGTAATATCTTACACAAACGCACAGCTTTTTAATTAGGTTCAATTGAGTTTGGTGATAAGTTACATTACTAGCGCATTACTCCACACTACGGCACTTTGTTGACTAAAATCTCCTGGGTCAATGCCCAGCCTCACAGATCTGAACACTGACCCCTGCTCAATGAGATGGTAGTGAAACAGTTACCAGACCACAACCATCCGAAACCAGCGAGTATCCATTTAAGAACAAAGAATTTTAAAAACTGCCACTAAAGGTCAACCTAAAAAACAAACAAACAGTTTTGGGATGCATGTTTGGAGAGCTTAAATCCTTTCCAACACAGGGAAACATTCCCTCCAGCTCCAAAAGCTATCGATTTCATTCGGCACACCCAGGGAAAGCCGCGTGCAGACAGGACGCGGCCCGTTGGAAACGAGACCTCCAGCTGCAAAACCATCCCGACGGAAAGCCAATGGATAAATTTCCTGGCCACTTCAGGAAGAGGGAGGTGTTGCCGGAAAAAGCCTTGGTGGGATATTATAAACCTCTTCCTGTTTTCTAGATAGCTCACTTCCAACACCCAAAGTTTTTTTCTTGTTCCTCATCCTTACTAGGACATTTACTCTCGCAGCATCCATCACTGAGTACACTATGGTAAGCAATAAAAAAAAAGTCCTTAAAACACAAAAAATGAAATCCTGTCTGAGACGTTGCTCATGCCAGGGTAGGATTAATGAAGCCCTTTTAATCCATTCCAATTAGTGCACTCTCTGGATCATTAAATATCATGACATGGTGTTTTCCCATTTCCTTCAATATTTAATTGGGTATAAAGATCAATTAGGCTGACTGTGGGAATAAAGTGCATTACTGAAATGGACTGACAGACCCACATTTGTGCCTGGAAATAAAAAAGGTCCATTCCGAGCCATTTGCAGCGATCAACAGAGGCCAAGCTACTGTCTGCAATTTAATTTCACACTTTTCTCGGGTTTTATTATCCTGTACACTAAGAACTTACACAGTTCATCCCAGGGAAGGTTTTAAAATGCTGTTCATGCTGGGGAAATGTCACTCTCTGTTCTTTGGTTCAGAGAGTGAAGCCTTGTCTTGGAGAGAAAAACCCGAATCTCCAAGGATAACCAATGTCTAGACTGAGTCATCACACCCCTCTATCTGCCCACCAAAACACATCCTTGGAGGACAATCATGCAACTACTATTAGAACGAGCAAGATAGGATAATGAAAAATCTTGCACACGACTTCGGAAACCAGACGAACACTTGATTCGCATGAACAAAAATAGAACATGGCAAAACACTCCGGGCTGAACTGTGCCGCCTTCATGACAGCTCTGCCATCAGAATTAATTCCAGTAAGTCTGCGGCAGGTTGCTCACTACACAAGGCAGTCTTACAGCTTAAGAAGTTATGGCCAACGATTACTTTCCCCAGTCAAAACAATAGAAAGGCTCTATAGCTTCACCAAACCCTTTGATTCCAATATCAGGCACACATACTTCCATGCCACAGCAGGCTGACCCACTTCATCCTTTTTCTAGGAGAGGTTTTAAAACGGAAAAGCAGAAATAACACCAGGAATGCGTTCTCTTTAAAACATCACATTGCAGGCTTTGCGAAAGGAAATACCAGGATGACAATGTGGGACAGAGAGCTAATTGAAAGCATACGGAGAGAGTCTGAGCTGGAGAGAGCAGCTTTGTTCTTCTCATGTCAGAATCATGGTTTTTAAACTTGCTCAGTTTTGAAACCTTTTGGTTATGACGGTTCTATATACCTCTAGTTACTAACCTCAGCTATCAGACGGGCAGCAAATTTTTTTTATTGCCAAGTTAGAAACACTGTTTGGCAGCAAACTTGGCATAGCAAATCGCTTCCAGTGGTAAACATCACTGATCAAGATCATACAGTCTGGGTTCCAGGGGTGTCGCAAGCAGCATTGCCACATCGAGAATGGTTTTCTTCCTGCACTTAAGTATGTTCCTACTCTCTACCATTTTGCCCAATTTGCAAATGCAAATTAGGATCTTGAATAAACAGCTAATTAACCAAATTACGCCTGATCTGTGAAACACTGCGATGTCTAACAATTAAACCCTTCAAACTTGGGATGCCAAGCAATCCTCTAACCCTCTTCAGTCCTAGAATGTTACGGCACGTTATCCAGAGACAATGCTGCACAGATTAAACCCCCTTCGCTAACAGACGTGGTGGCATGTGGGCATGGTGGTTGGCACTACTCCCTCACAGCTGCAGGATCCTGACTCGACTTGGGGTCAGGGCTGACTGCAGGTTCAAGCTGTCTTCTCCCAGGGGGCTCTAGGGTGCTCAAGCCCACTGCACAGCACTGCCACTGCACTGGACGGACACTGGGGACTAGAACTATCTGAGCTTGGAGGATTGAAAGGTCACTTGTTACCTGTGGCCCTTCTGAAGAATGCAAGAAGCAGAAGAGTTGGTCAACCTGTCAGGTGTTTTTGTTCCTAAATCTCTTCATAGAATGAACACCTGGAACAGATCCAGCAATAACTTACTCATGTATCCCGTTGAACTCAATGCTCACCTAGGATTAGAAAGCAAGACACCTGGCAGGGTCACAGTTTCATCTGCAGTTTCAAGTGCACCAGTTGCAAACTGAACACTGAAGTAAAAAGCCATGTGCACCCTGTTTAAACTCAAGCACTTGTTAAAGAGAAATTAACTTGTACCTCGGCAGAACACCCGTACATGCTGTGGCTCATGTAATTACCTGCTCACCATGTCTACAGACCGTTATGGAAACCACTGTACTGAAGGCTTTGTGCAGCTGATGTGAATACAGGTTTACACATCCCAACTGAACAGCAACAACTGGCCATTAACAGACAGCAGTTACCACATCACTGGAGAATTCTTTGCTAATAAAGGGATTAGCAAAACACATTTCAGATCATGATTCAACCCAATTGATTATATGGAGATAAATGTTAAAATTTCAAGGAGATGTTTTCGGATCCATCTCTAAAGGGTGTATTTAGATGCTGAGCAGTGCACAATTTCAATGCAATACACAGCTGGGTCCACAGGGAGAGCAGGCCTGGTGTGGGGGCGGTTTGTCCAGGAGCACCGCGGCGGCCCCTGCTGGACCCACCCTGGGGCAGGAGGGGGGGTGGAGCCGCCCTGGGGATCACACCAGGAGCTGAGCCCAGGGCAGTGAAAGTCAGTTCAGCCAGAAAACTGTTGCTCAGTGTTTGTCTACATTTCATCCTGTTGCCAGAAAGCTCCAGTGGGGGGAATACACAACAGGACATCTAAATCAGGCCGTTTATATTCTGAAGGTTTACGACATCATGTAAGATTAAAACGCATTTTTCCCCCCACACAATCATGCTTACAAACGGAAATGTAGTTCATCAGAGAAGTATTCAATTTCTGAAGACGAGTGGTTTGTGACAGAGGAATGGCGGTAGCGGTGTAGCGACCGCAGTCCAGCCCGTACACACCTCTCGGTGTCGGGTGGGGCTGCGCGCACGGCGGCCGCGGCCATTAGCACTGTCAGCTGGAAACAGCGGCCCGGTCCTTCCGAGACAGCCTGACCAAACTGGAGAGGGGTGTCGGCTGCGCTATGGGGTGAGTCATCAATTACAATAAAAAGGTTTCAAGACGCCCGGTACAGTTCTGTGATCGACGTCAAGGCGTTTCTGAAAAGGCAGAACGCTTTCCTAACCCACGCCGCCTTCCACAGCCGACACGCACAAAAAACAGCGAACAGACAAAACGCCATCAATCACAGCCCATCAAGCCGCCCGGCTCATCAGGCGCTATGGCAACAAGTCCGACTGCAGAGCTCACACGTCTGTTCACCTGCAGAAATCAATTAACTCGACCACGGTTCGCTTCGTGTTGGCTACATCCACGTACATGAAGCCCAGAAGGCAACATTTACTGGGCTGATACTAAGCCCTAGTACACCGTCCAACAGCTGCTCATTAGCAGCGAGAAGAGATGGTGCCATTTACAGTTTGAGAGGCTGATTTAAACAAGAGCTTGGAGTGGGCGAGCGTGCCCAGGCTGCCGCGCCTCGCCCTCCCCATCAGTCGCTCCAGGGCGCGCTGCCGGTGTGCATCGTAGTGCGTTATCGACCCACAGCTGGACCCCGTGTCTCCGGTTCCCCCCAGCTGTCGCCCGAAAGGAGACCGGCACTCGACCGCACCTCCGTCTCGGGCCGGGTTCGGTGCCCAGGGCTGGAGCGGCAGCCAGACATGCGCAGAGCGCCTCACGCTGTTGTGCTCGACACAGACCATGGGCGGTGGCTTCTAGACTCATTGATACGGTTTAATTAAGCAATTAAAGCCTCATTTATCACGGCAGTCGTTCTCCAGGATCGGCGTTTATGAATGAAACGAGGGAGATCCTGCATCCGCCGCTAACCCCTTTTAATCCAGAGATTAAAATAATAGCGATACATTGTGCAGCTGTGTATTGCTTTTTAAAGCATCCCCAACATGAACTGGGCACTTACAAAAAAAAACGGAGAAATGAAATACAAATAAATAAGTGAACTGTCATTTCAAACTTTTTTTTTTACACAAAACGACTGCTAATGTGTCCTGCGTCCATCCTTGGCGAAGCAAACTAGAAGTTTGGCTCCGTGCAGGATTGATAAAATCAGAGACGCTGCTGAGGGGAGCTCACCCCGGCATCGCCCGAGCCAGCGGACCGCGCAGACCGCGACGAGCCCCGACTGCGCTCCTTGGACAAGACAGCCGGCGAGCAAACTTACTTTCCTGTCCGTGACGTCCTCGCCCACCGCCTCCACCAGCCCCGAGCACTCCATCCCGGGGGTGACGGGCGGCGACGGCAGCCGGTCGTACAGACCCTGCCTGCCCAGCAAGTCGGCGAAATTCAAGCCGCAGGCTTTCACCCGCACCACCACCTCCCCGGTTTTGGGGCTCGGCATCCCCTTTTTCACTTGCAGTTTGACTTTATCGTAGCCTCCATAGCCGGACAGCACTAGGGACCGGTACGTGAAAACTTCTTCCTCGACCTCCTTCTCCGCCGGTGCCTCTGCTGCGGGCTTGGACTGCTCCTGCTTCGCCTCCTCGTTCTGCTGGGCGTCTTGCTTTTGTTCTTCGGGCGTCTGCTGCTGTGCAGGTGCTTCTTCCCCAGACATCTTCGGATGGGTAACGAGAACACGCAGCTGTCAAGCAAAAGCAAAGATGCGTTTTTTTTCTGTTGGCCCGCGTCAGCGAACGAGCTGTTGTATGTGAAAAAGCAACGGTGAAGAAGCAGCAGCAAAGTCTTGCAACAAAAGAGAAAGACACCGACCCTCCGCAAAGCCTCGCAGCTCCAGACAACAGTGTGGCGTGAAGACGACTGAGCCCTCCGCTCCCCCAGAAGTTGACCGCTGTGCGAGGCGAGAGCGAAATCCCGGAAAGCGGATTCCTGGAGCGGCGGAGCGCCCGGCTGCTCTTAAAGGCGCAGGAGCAGCGTGTTCCAGGAGCGACACGGATCAGTGGTCCAGAAAACTATGAACGTCTCCACGTCACGTCCGTGCGTGAAATATGAAGTAATAAATCTTCAATTATGTGTAAAAATATGAAAAGAAGGCATAAACCTATACTTACTGTATAATAGAATATATACCAGAAACAGCTTAGGTTACGTGATCTATGGCCGATGGTTTTGGATCATTACAAAACAGCTCTGAACGCTGGATAGTTTACGATCTCTCTGCGTACAGGCGAATTGCTGACAGTATTGGTGTGCCAAAGGTAACTTTAATTATCAGTCATATTGCCCATGGCTCTGAGTCATGGATGTACGGTAATATTGGATTGGTTTTTCGGAGTCAAAGTTCACTCACTCAATTATTCCTGTTTCTTTGTTTAGCCCTGAATGAGGTGACCTATTGTCAGTATTTGACTAATAAAATAAAAACGACTGGCTGTAAAATATAGGGAAGGAGACAGATGGGAGGACTCGCTTCAGCCCATCTGGGTGATTCCTTGTACTAGAATCTCATCTAGGCGTTTTTACCTACAAGGCTGGCCAGCTTGTTCCCAACACCCACAACTCACTGTGTAAAGAGGTGATTCTTACACCACTGCTAGTGCACTCTCTCTTCATCTAAATGAGTGTGCCCAGGTTCTGGTTTTACCAGTGACCCTTAAGCAGTTATTTGGATTCACTTTGCCAACACCTTGCAAGATTTTGAACTTGTTTATCAAGACCCTCGTCATCTCCTCTGCTCACATAGGAGAGACTGGTTTCCTAACCTGTTTGTGCAACTTCTGGTTTACAAATCCTGCCACAACTTGAAATAATCAGGAAGTTTAAGTTGGAGGAAAGTTCAGCCTTAATGATCTTGATCAGTTTAACCCCCTAAGATGTTTATTATTTCAGCAGGTGTGCAGTTAGGGATCTCATGCTTTTAGTTAATCTATTATATTCATTCAGTCAATTAAGCAATTAAATCAATGACAGAAGTGAATGTTTGGGTGGAAGAAAATTTGGAAGAGATTCCGATCACTTTGGTCTCTCTCCATGAGGCCCTTCCAATCCAATCCTTTAACTGCCAGCTCTTCATGTGTTTAATTGTGGATCAGCAGGATCAATACTGCAGTCAAGGCGATGGCTTGATGGCACTAATGCACTGCAGTGGGCATGTTGAGTGTCTCTTGTCTAGACCACACTACTCCTGCCCCCCTGGTGCCGGTGGGTTTGCTTCCAGCTAGACCCTTAATCACCAGTGCTAGCTGGGGCTGCAAATGACCTGTTTGCTGGTTTTGACTTTTTCTACACGCATGCCTAGGTTTCATAAATCCACTAAAGTGCCTTATGTCCGGCCTGAGCGCAAAGACCCTTAATCAGCCTCTCCTGAACTTGCTGTGCAGCGGAATCATTTGCTCCCTTATTTTCACGTATGAGGGAGCATGATGAAGTAGCAGTCAGCACTGCTGCCTCGCAGGGCGGGGATCGGGGTTCGATTCTTGGGTTGCTGTCTGTCTAGGGTTTGCATGTTCTCCCCACATCCACATGGGTTTCCTTCAGGTGCTCCAATTTCCTCCCACATTCAAAGGGTAGGTTCATTGGCTTTGTAAAAAAATGGCCTTGGTGTGAGCGTGTTCCCTGCAATGGACTTATTGCCCATTCAGGATGTACTCAGCCCTGTACCCAGAGTTTCCTCGTATAGTCTCCAGGCCTTCATGGCCATGAACTGCAATGTTAGAAGAGGTTATTGAAAGTGATGTGATAATTTATGGCTGAGCAGCCTGTAACAGGTGATCAATTGACACGAAACAGACACAGGTGGTGGTGATACTATCAGACACACCCACAGTGAGTCGGTGTTTTTTCCCATGCTTAAGGCCAGTTGGTTAGATGTCAGTTCTCACACCTGAATGAGGTCAGTCCTGAAGCTGACTAATCAGCACATGGTCCATCCAAATCTCATTCAGCTTTATAAGAGCTGTGAGCAAGCTTAAAATGAATAGAAAATTGTAAAAATTGGAAATAAATAATCCAGTGATCAAAATCTTGGCTGAGCCAGAAGCCAGAAGCCAGAAGCCAGAAGCCAGAAGCCAGAAGCCAGAAGCCAGAAGCCAGAAGCCAGAAGCCAGAAGCCAGAAGCCAGAAGCCAGAAGCCCCATGCAGCAGTGACCCCTGGGTGTTAGAGGTCCAGCTGATGCATATCTGCAGACACACTGGGCCCCTTGAATCCAGGAGTGAGAGCCCTGCTCCACAGAGGCGATCCAGGCCTGTGATTCAGGCACCTCCTCGGCTGTTACTTTCGTATCCACCACCGTGTTACACTGGTTTAAAAACTGACTGGTGCCAGACTCCTGGACTCGATCCCAGGTGATCCGGTCCTTTCTGATTTTTGCTCTAACTTAAGTCATCAGTGAAGAAAATAATCTATTCATTTTCTCAGTTTGATACAGACTGGATGTTTAAGTTAATTTACAGCTGATAATTCAAAACAGTTACTTAAAACATGCTTTGGTGCCAGGTTAGTAAAATGGAATTAAATGCATAATTAGAATAATTAAGTACATTATTTTGACTGACAGCTTAAGTAGAACAAAAATCAGAAGATGTCAAGAAGAACTGAATTCAGAAATTCCTAGACTGTCCTTGACCCTAAAATAAACAGGAAGAGCATTTTTTACGTCGATTAAAGAGTGTTGGCAGCTCCAGTCCTGGAGTACTCTGTCCCTGCTGGTTTTAGAAGTATCTTTTCAATAAGACCAGGAAAATACAGCTGATCTGACAGCTTATCCACTTAATTGGTTCAATGAAGTCCTGGAGGTCTGAGATGGAATGAAAACCAGAACCAAAAGCCCCACTGGAGTACTAGAGTTGCCTACTCCTGGTGCTCCTAATAAATATGCAGGGTTGGTTGCCAAACATGGACTGGAAATTCTTCTAAGACTGGATCTGGGAACTAATGGACAGGGGAACTTCCCAAATTGTGACCCTGCATTTGTTTGTTCTAGCTGAATTTCTGTTACACAATCTTTTTCAGTCTTGAGATTCTTTTCTAGACATTGTGCTGTTTAACAGATGAGTAACTGTACATTTACAGACTTAAAATAATAACAGATTAAATTTAAATATTTAAGGTTACAGAAACTTGCTTAATATACAGAGGATCCTGGCACTGCCCAGGCCAAGTGCAATATATAAGGTTGAATGAGCCATATCTACAGATTGCTCTATTGATGTTGAAAAATATACCTACATACCTACAGCCTTCCTCTCCATCAGGATTTCTTTGTGTAGGATTGTAAATATTTGGACAGCCTGTCATGGTGGACATCAACAATTCAGATTTCGAAAAGTGCCCGAGCCCAAAGCAAAGAGTGTGTGTCTATTGAGGAGGAGGAAATGGGAAACAAACACAGGAAGTTGGATGTTATTTTCCTGTGAAGTCAGCCACTGGGAGTCACACAACAATAAAAAATCCTGTGCTTCTTGTTGATTGCAAACAACAAGAATTCCTCAAAGGTGTGTTATGGAGATAAGGAGGGGGACTCATCCTAGTGATTGAATGGGCTGAGATTTTAACAGAAAAGTGGAATTTAAAGTAACTGGCAACTCAGTGATTTACATGGTCTCCTTGATTATTGGCCTTGTCTTGAAACAGCTCTGTGACAAGTGAATGCAGACTGGGGAAGGATCTGATCTATCACTCATAACCTGAGTCATAGTGTCAATATCACTACTCCTATAGGTCCTGGCAAGAAATCACATCATGCCATTTCAAATCATCACTGCAGTAGGGAATATTTAATTTTTGCTAAATTTCTCTAAAGTTTACAATTTTCAGGTCTGTACATATACTGAGCTCCTAATATTGTTCAGAGTGTACAGCTACTCATTATTTCATTTCTTCTTCTCCTCTGTCATTTCTTCAGCTTTTCAGCTCCTCCTCTGTTTGCTAAAATACTTGTTGGATTCAAAATCACAGTCTGTGACATCTTTCAGAGGCAATGTCCAGGAAAAGTTGTTCAGTCATCCCATTACACTGATGTTTTGTCTGAGGGTCAAGCTGTCACTGACATTGGACTTAAAAAAGCTTCAGCCAGTATTGGCAGTAGAGATTTTGCTGTCTAAACACTGTGCTATAACCTAACATAACCAAGCACAATCAGCAGATAGATGAGGGTGGTTCAAAAAAGCAGGAAGTTGTAGAGGAAAACTCACGAGGCTCCTGAGGTTGGAGCCCCTAATGCAGGCTGTGCGTAATCTCCCAGATGGCTGAGTTCCTTGTTTAAGCTGTGTCCTGTTCTGGTTGACCATAGTGGATGATGGAAACAAAGAGGCACCAAATCTTGAGCTTTCGTCACAGTTTTGGTGCAGCAGAGCGCTGTTCTGAGGGAAGTGAATGTTGAGAATGTTTCTTTGGAGACTGTGAGCAAGATGGAGCCTGCAGCCTAGGTTTCTTGGAAAATTGTAAGAGGCAGGTTGGGCTTGGCAGCAAACCAACCTATGAAAAAGCAAGAAAGAACCACACATCGGCAGAGCTGGTCGACCATGACAATTCTAGATACCCATCAGCATGCTTCCAATGTCAGAACTCATTGCTCATTTTTCTTACTGGTTGCAATGTGTAATCTGGCTTTGGATGATCACCGAGTTTCAGTTTCAGCTGTTGTGAACTTGCTGCTTTAGGCAGTTGTTTGGCTCTAGTTAGGAGGTGGCCAGTACTGCCCCCTGGAGCTGGTGTGATGCAGGAACAATTGGCTGATCACTAAGCGTCTCTGCAAAGAAGCAAACTATAACTTTTAACTAAAGGGGGATCTGAGCATACCGACCTCATCCACTTGCTGGTGGGGAAATCGCCCAGCAGGAAGAGGAATGGGCCAATAAACAGTGGTGTCCCCTCCCTGTGGTCACGATCAAGGTCACAGCCTTTTAGCCTCTGAGTGGTGGAGAAACCCACAGGAAAGGGCTGTTTGTGCATTCCATTCTTCTGCTACAGCCGTGGATCTTTAATG